GGAAAAATTTGTGAACCGATTTTTATAAAATATATTTTAAAACAAAGTTCGATAATTTAAGCATACATGCGTGTTTAAAATTTTCCATTTGGTTCTCTCGTKTAGGTACGGTGAGCCAAAATTAACCGGCGCGATACTAAACACAACCCCATAATTGGGCGACGCCACGCCCATTTTCAATTTTTAAAGAAAGCCTGGGTGCAGTTTCTTTCTGATATTTCTTCCGTAAACTTTAGTGTTTCTGACGTTTTTTGTTAGTCGGTTAATGCACTTTTAGTGATTTTCAACATAACCTTTGTATGGGAGGTGGGCGTGGATATTATCCGATTTCTTCTATTTTTGAACTGTATATGGAAATGCCTGAATGAAACTCTGTAGAGTTTGGTTGACATAGCTATAGTAGTTTCCGAGAAAAAACTTAGTAGGGGGCGGGACCACGCCCACTTTTCCAAAAAGATTTGTCCAAATATGCCCCTCCCTAATGCGATCCTTTGTACCAAATTTCACTTTAATATCTTTATTTATGTCTTAGTTATGTCACTATAGGTTTTCGGTGTTCGCCATTTTGTTGGCGTAGCAGTGGGCCGATTTGCCCATCTTCGAACGTAATCTTTTTATGGAGCCAGGAAATACGTGTACCAAGTTTCATCATGATATCTCAAGTTACAGCTTTCACGGACGGACGGACGGACTGACAGACATCCGGATTTCAACTCTACTCGTCACCCTGATCACTTTGGTATATATGACCCTATATCTGACTCTTTTAGTTTTAGGACTTACAAACAATCGTTATGTGAACAAAACTATTATACTCTCTTTAGCAACTTTGTTGCGAGAGTATAAAAATAATACAATTGCTAAATATGGGAACAGAACTACAGCCACATCCGCAGTGCAATGGATCATAACTGGCTCAGTATTCAGTATGAATATTATATATTTCGTCCCTTTAGGGCGTCCAGTCTCTTTATGGTCCTCGGTGATCATTACGTATCTTTCCAAATAAGGAAATATTTCAAAGGTTGATATCCCTGGTACCGATTCCAAATTCAACAGTATTTTGCCCTCTAAACGCAATGCTTTATTAGCACACGAGATGCTTTTCTATCAAAAAATCTATATCTCATTAAAGGTAGAGGCTGACTAGAAATCTATGTGGTATTAGTAGTAAAATCGAAGTTTATTATAAAACTTGAGGACTCTTCCACGTTTTACAAAGGCTGATAAATAGGTAGTACTTATTCTTCAATTAGATATTCCAAGTGAAGCCAGGTCCTTCTTCACTTGGCCCTTCCAACAGAGTGGAGGTCTTCCTCTTCCTCTGCTTCCCCCGGCGGGTACTGCGTCGAATACTTTCAGAGCTGAAGTGTTTTCGGTTATCCGGACAACATGACCTAGCCAGCGTAGACGCTGTCTTTTAATTAATTTTTAATTCGCTGAACTATGTCAATGTCATCGTATATCTCGCGATATTCGCGGTGGCCAACGCACAAAGGACCATAAGTCTTTCGCAGAACTTTTCTCTCGAAAACTCGCAAGGTCGGCTCATCTGTTGTTGACATCGTCCAAGCCTCTGCACCATATAGCAGGACGGGATTTATAAGTGACTTATAGAGTTTGATTTTTGTTTGTCGAGGGAGGACTTTACTTCTCAATTGCCTACTCAGTCCGAAGTAGCACCTGTTGGCAAGAGTTATCCGGCGTTGGATTTCTAGGCTGACATTGTTGGTGGTGTTTACGCTGGTTCCAAGATAGA